GTCGGTTCCCCCGTCGCTTCGGAGACGCACCTTGGCAAGCACGTCGCGCTAGGCCCCCCCAACGCGGTGGAGAAAAGATCTCCGCGAGCACACAGCGCTCGGCCCCCACGACTCAACTGAGAAAGACCCAGGCGGACGCTCAGAGCCAGGCTCCCCCGACGCGCGGGGAGGCGATCTGGCGGAGCGATTCGCGCCAGGAGCCCCGTCGCAAAAACTAGCAACCTCGAAAGGCGATCAGCGCCAGGTTCCCCCATCGCCAGGGCGCGCGCGCCCGCCCACCCCCCAACCCGAGTCACGCGCGCCTCCTCTCCGCCCAGAACGCCGCCAGGGCGCGCGCGTTGCCGCGGGCCCACTGGCTTCGACGGCGGTATCCTACCGCTGCAGCCTATAGTAGGCTTGCTCGATCCCCACGGGGAAGCGTCTCCCTGCGCGCCTTGTTTGGCGCTCGCAGGGAGCCGTTCCCCCCCGATCGATGCGGACTGCTGGGCGCTTCGCCACTGGGGCCACAGCGGCTTCCTGAAGGCGACAGTTCTTGGGGCCACCCTCTGCGAAGATTCGCGCGGCCCTGTCTCCGCCGCTGCCCGCGCGCGCAGAGGCGCACTGGACCCCGCGCTTGCAACCCTCGCCCTCGCCACGCCAGGACACTGGCCCGCGCCTTTATTCGCGCCGAAGTTTGGAGCGATTGCCCGCTCAAGCGATGTCTTTCAGAACGCGCGAACCCCCGACCAGTCGGCCCCGTAATTTTCTTCTGCAAGTGCTCTGGGAGACCACGGGCAGACCCGTGAAGGGCGCGTGCCCTGCCGGGCCCCATGGCCACGCGCTCCTTTGCTTGCCGGACTGGCAGAGCGGCCCCCATCCGCGAACGCCATTTCCCTGCGCGCCGACTGCTGGTGTTGTCAACAAAAGGGCGCGCTGCACCTGCCGCAATGCCATTCGTAGCCTTTGTCGACGTCGCCTCGTTCCATCCAGCAATGTGTCCCCCACGTCACACTCGAGGGTTCAAGGATGGGGAACTCCGGCAGGGCCTTCATGCCCAGGAGAGTGCAGCCCCAATCCCCACTGAACCTGCCGAGCTTGTTGCCTTCCTTTTTCACGACATTGAGGTGGGTTGACAACAACTACGCAGCCATCTGCTTCTACCATCCCGCGAAAAGCCAAGCCCCCCCCCCCCCAAAAAAAAAATAAAGAGAGAGGAAGAAGAGAGAGACAGAGAGAGAGAGGGAGAAAAAAAAATGAGCGTCGCCTCTCCTTCCGAGGTCACGATTTCTGAGGATGTCGCACGAGGATCGCACGCGCCACTGTCCCTGAGGGTCGCACACGCTGCTGCGGAATCCTCAATCACGCGGAGCCGCACCTACCTAGCATCCCCATGGTGGAGCTCGTCGTCTCATACACATCCTGCTGCCACTGTCGGAAGTACAGCACAGAAAGTTTTGCACTTCGTCTCGTCTAGCTGCATCCGGCCTGCATCTTCTGAGGCGCTGCGCCGCTCGCGATTGGATGACCCACCGCCCGCGCCGCGAGGCTCGTCGCCGACGGGCGGGGGTGGCGCGCGTCTGTCGTTCGCTATGGATTGGTGATCTTGCCCACTGGGCCATTATAGGCGCGGCGCGTCTTTGCTGACCAAGGCCCCCAGGTCTGGGCGCGGCGCAATCGCCCTGGCTCTGCAGACTCCGTCTTAGGCACTTGATGCATGAAGCACGTTTGGCGCCAGATTGCTCCGACGAAATGAGTCTGGGCGCCACGCGTGCAGCGACGGGCTTCCCCGACGCAATCTCACGCGCAGGGGGAACGAGAACGCTTCGCGTTGGTGCCATTGGGGACCCGGTCTCAGCGCCTGCCCACTCCGCGATCTCGCGCTGGTGCGGCGACCTGGACACAGGGTGTGGCACCCCCAGAACTGGACCCACGCGCCTCGTGACTGGCGATACATAGGGAGTTCGCCGTCAATCGCGGAGGCTTGACCTACCGCGTGAAGTAGCCCTTGGAGGGCTGCATAATACATTCTCACGCAACTCTCGACGGTTAAGACCATCTGTCTGTTGACCAGCTCTAAAACATTGTTCGAAGCGAGATGCTGTGCTCGCAGGCCTCCATGATGTGCCTGGAGTTCATAGGGCAGGTCATCAAGCTGCATACTGATGAGCTAGCTGCTCTCCTGCTCGAACTACATGGAACCGTTGGCCCTGTGCCATAGGCTGTGCATAGAGGTAGGCACGGCTACTCCGTCCCCGTCGTTGCTCCTGCGCATGGCCCCGTGGCACTCTTGGCCAGAAGGACTTCGACACCCACGCGAGCTTCAGAATTGATAGCTGGGCGGAATGCGCGTGGTTGGCTGGCCACCTGGGCCGCCACCCGAACTGTCTCTGCAACGGCCGGCGATTACTGGTCGCCGCGCCCCTTGTCACTCCCGCGCGTTCTATGAATGCGCCGCGGAAGGCCTGGGGGGAAACTCTCCCATGCTCGCGAAGAGCGACAGGTTCTCTCCTAATTTTCTCCTGCAACGTAATTTGCACTTCCAGCGAGTCACTCGGCAGCGTCGACTCGCAGCTCATTTGGTCCACGGTTCGCGTCAATGCGACACCTGCGCATCCATTTCATCCGCGTCGGCTCGGCGCTCATTGGGGGCATGCGCCGACTCGACGCTCACCACCTTGGTCCGCACCAATTCGACCGCGCCGACACGACGCACATTGACGCGATGCGCGCCGACTCGGCACTCATTGACACGTAAGCCAGGGGGAGATCGTGGAGAATGCCCCTCCTGTGCGCCCTAGCTCATCCTGGCTAGCACTGCAGCCCTGTCCCGCTTTGGTGCACCACCACGGTGAAGGAACACGTCGTCGAAGGGATAGGCAATTATCGGGTCGGGCGAAAGGGGGGGATAGCGAAGGGGGAGTTTGAGAATCAGCTCACGTAGCTGATTTTCCCGGCGCCTCCCGGCGCCGGGAGGCGCCCATGTATCGAGGAATGGGCCCCTCGGCGGGGCCGAAACCAGCTGCATGCAGCAGATTTCGTAACCCCCCCTTTCCCAATCCCCCCCTTTCGCCCGGCCCGAAAGTATAGCCCCTCCGCGATCCTGGCTTCTTCGACTCCATCCCGAACGCGGCCGGCCTCCCCGCAGCGCCAGGTGCCGCCGTGACCGTCGCCCGCAGCGCCGAGGCTGCCCGAGCGCAGCGCCCGCAGCGTCAGGACTCCCAAACGCACTGGCCCCGCTGTGCGGAGACACTTGCGGGCGTGGGTGGATCGACGCTGTATGGTATACGCATGGCGAGGAGGAGGAGGACGACGAGGAGGAGGAGGAGGAGGAGGGGGGAGGAGGAGGAGGAGGAGGAGGAGGAGGAGGAGGAGGAGGAGGAGGAGGAGGAGGAGGAGGAGGAGGAGGAGGAGGAGGAGGAGGAGGAGGAGGAGGAGGAGGAGGAGGAGGAGGAGGAGGAGGAGGAGGAGGAGGAGGAGTAGGAGTAGGAGGAGGAGGAGGAGGAGGAGGGGGAGAAGGGGGAGAGTGCCATTTTGTGGTCCGCCCCAGCTGCGGCGGCGACGGCTGACCGCTCGCACGTCAGAGCGCGGGTGTCCGTCGCCCCCCGGCGGCAATCTCTGACGGAAGTGCCCGAGATCACGGCCCAGAGAGTTCGCCACAGCGAGCCCGAGGCGGTCTGATTGGTACAGTCGGGGCCCTGGAGAAGGAACCCTTTTCGTTGGGGAGGGGCTCGGTGTTCCTTGATTGTTTCACAGCTTGCCTTAGGTTTTTCCTTAGGTCTTTGATATGGAATCGAAGTTTAACTTATGGAAAATGGGGGCCTCGTTCCTTGTTTAAGGTTCCTTAGGTCAGCGCCCCGACTGTAGCCTGTGCTCGAACAGGTGCAATGCGCTGGCGGGCACCGCTTCGCGCTTCGGACAACAACCCATGGTTAGGGGAACTTCAGCGACCAGGCCGAACTCCCTTTTTCTGATCAAAACCTGACAGGTATTGGGCACTGGCTCGCCTACAAGGCGGCCAGGCACCCGTTGCCGAGCTTGCATCCAGCCGTGGCTCACGAGGACACCCCGAGAGGAAAAGGAAAAACAATAAACAATTTGTCGTCGTCCCTCACGACACCGACCCGACAACGAGGGACCGCGCGCTCGCGCGCCCTTTTACATGTACCTGTCGCTCGGACAAAATGCTACGCGCCCTCCGGCCCGCAAGCAGACGCACCAGCAACGGCAGGAGGGCGGAAGAGGGAAGGCGGAGAAGGGATGGACCAAGATGGACCCGCGTCCTCTCGAAATCCTGGCAAAGATACCGCCAAAGACAAACACGCACCAAGAACGAGGGGTAAAATACCGTTGCAAACCAGCCTTGCCTAGCGAACCAAGCTTGCCACTTCAGGCCTAGCGAAACCAACCTTACCCAACGAACCCCTCTGGCAGCCTTTGACTTCTGAAGCCTAGGACTGGAGGAACGAACAAAAAACTGCGTAAGCACAAACGCTTGGAGCTCCGCGCAGATTTCCTGGACCTGCGCTGACACCCGCTCCCCGGCGCGCGGAGCGCGCCCAGGGGCCCAGGGGGGGAGCCATCGCAGATCCGTGAAATCCGCGGGGACCGTCAGAAGTTTATGTCTACGCCCCTGTTCAGTTCTTCCAGACGAAAGAGAGCTGTGCACATACACCGATGCTGGCCAGGCCCATCCCGAGCCCAGGATCAGCGCCTGCGCCCTCCTGCCTTGGCCGGGAGAGCACCGTGCACCGCTCCTGGGCCCCAGAGGGGCCTGGCGCCAGAATCGGTGCATGTGCATAGTTCTGTTCGCCCGACTCTTCGGCAGATTGGGGGGCGGAAAGATACGGATACGTGCTGTCCCCGGACCTCTCTTGGGGTGCGTTCTGACCAGAATCTCGAGGCGAATCCAGCGGCGACGACGAGGCTTCCCCAGGAGGCCCAGGAAGGGCCGAAAACGAAGGGGGACAACACGTCTCCGTATCGTATTTCTCTCCCCCGAATAGACGGCGGCGAGGAGCCACCTCCACCTCGCCGGCCCACGCCCCAGCGCGCCGCGAGGCCGGCCAGCAGCAGCGCGGCGAGGGCGCGGCGCGCGGCCAGGGGCCGCGGCCTCGGCGCGCCGCCTCCGCCGGCGGCGCCGCCGGGCCGCGGCATGGCCCCCGCAAGGGGCGACCCCGGCCGAGGCCGAGGCCCTGCGGAGGAGCGCGTCGGGCGAGCGACTTGTGCGACTCGGCGGCGAGCGAGGGGGGGGAGTGAGAAGGATCAGAGGGCCCCAGGGCACACAGGATTCCGCACAGTTTCCCATATTTCACGGGTGTTTGTCTTCCCCCCGCTTCCCACAGTTTCCCCTATATTTTCCTGGGGGTCGACGATTCCTTGTGTCTGTGTGTTTCTTTCCCTCCTGAGAGAAGGAAGGGGCTCGGCGGTGGACAAACCTCCCTATAGCAAACCTCCCCTCACTGAAACCGGCCTGGGGCCGAAACCGACGGGCCTGGGCCCGCAGGAAGGACGGCCGCGACGCCCTCTCGCGAACCGAAAACGGCCAATTCCTGAATCGACGTGTCAGGGTAGGAGGTCCATCCACCTCCGAAAGGCCTGCTCAGAAGGCGGCGGGGCTTCTCAGAAGGCCTCCGGCCTTCTGAGGCGTCTTCGTGTCCTCGGGGAGGGCGCGGGGGACTTCTCAGAGGGCAGTGGGACTTCCGAGCCTTCTGAGAAGGGCGGCCCCTTCTCGTGTCCCCCCCTCGCCCGCCGCCGAGTGGCCTCACTCCCTGCCCGCATCTTCTTGCACCACCAGCGCTGGCGTCACCGACGGTCGGAGCACCCCCCGCTGTGCACCACGAGACCTCACGCCGGCGGCCCGCAGGGAGACGGCGCGGGTCCTCCTCCCCGGCAGTGCGCCACGCCGGGAGATTGATCGGTGCTGTGTGAAACGTACTCTCAGGTCGGGCGTGTCCCCCTACAGGGGGATTTTCGATGAGAAATAAAAAATACGCCAAAAATGCCCCCAAAAAATGCCAAAAAATACTCCGAAAATAATCCCCGGACAATTTTTGGACTGTTGTTTGATTTCTACCTAACAGCGAAGACTGATAGGTTTCTAGTAGTGTCAAAAGAGAGCATCATGACTCCCCAGGGGGGTCTGGGCGAGATCCGGACGGGATCCGGGGGAATCCGGGGACTCCTTTTTTAGCCAACAGTAACGCAAATCGTGGTCTTCGAGTTCCCAGAACTCCATTCCTGGGCATGATTTTGAATGCCCGGAGCCAACTGTAGGCCACTTCGTGGTCTTCGAGCTCCCAGAACTCCACTCCTGGGCATGATTTTGAATGCCCGGAGCCAACTGTGGGCCACTTCGTGGTCTTCGAGTTCCCAGAACTCAATTCCTGGGCATGATTTTGAATGCCCGGAGCCAACTGTAGGCCACTTGGTGTTCTTCAAGAAGTTCCCAGAACTCCATTCCCGGGCCACATTTTGAACGCTGATGCAGGCTGAGGCTGAGGCGAAGGCATGCTGATGCTGCGGCAGGCTGAGGCTGAGGCCGAGGCTGAAGGCAGACTGAGGCTGAGGCTGAAGCAGGCTGAGGCTGAGGCTGAAACTGAGGCTGAGGCTGAGGCTGAGGCTGAGGCAGGCTAATGCTGAGGCAGGCTGAGGCTGAGGCTGAGGCCAGGCTGAGGCTGAGGCAGGCTGAGGCCGAGGCTGAGGCCTGAGGCTGAGGCTGAGGCAGGCTGAGGCTGAGGCTGAGGCAGGCTGAGGCTGAGGCTGCAGGCTGAGGCTGAGGCAGGCTGAGGCTGAGGCCGAGGCTGAAGGCTGAAGGCTGAGGCTGAGGCTGAAGGCTGAGGCTGAGGCTGAGGCTGAGGCAGGCTGAGGCTGAGGCTGAGGCTGAGGCTGCAGGCTGAGGCTGAGGCAGGCTGAGGCTGAGGCTGAGGCTGATGAGGCTGAGGCTGCTGGCTGAGGCAGGCTGAGGCTGAGGCCGAGGCTGAAGGCAGACTGAGGCTGAGGCTGAAGCAGGCTGAGGCTGAGGCTGAGGCAGGCTGAGGCTGAGGCTGAGGCAGGCTGATGCTGAGGCAGGCTGAGGCTGAGGCTGAGGCTGATGCAGGCTGAGGCTGAGGCAGGCTGAGGCTGAGGCCGAGGCTGAAGGCAGACTGAGGCTGAGGCTGAGGCAGGCAGGCTGAGGCTGAGGCTGAAGGCAGGCTGAGGCTGAGGCTGAGGCAGGCTGAGGCTGAGGCAGGCTGAGGCTGAGGCCGAGGCTGAAGGCAGACTGAGGCTGAGGCTGAAGCAGGCTGAGGCTGAGGCTGAGGCAGGCTGAGGCTGAGGCTGAGGCAGGCTGATGCTGAGGCAGGCTGAGGCTGAGGCTGAGGCTGATGCAGGCTGAGGCTGAGGCTGAGGCTGAGGCCGAGGCTGAAGGCAGACTGAGGCTGAGGCTGAAGCAGGCTGAGGCTGAGGCTGAGGCAGGCTGAGGCTGAGCAGGCTGAGGCTGAGGATGCAGGCTGAGGCTGAGGCTGTGACTGCGACTGCCGTTGCCACTGCGACTGTCATCGCGAATGCGACTGCGACTGCGAGAACAGCAGAATTCTACAACTGGATTCTCATCTGAATCTTAAGGGGAATGTTTCCAGATATGTTTCTACACATCGCTGTTAGGTTGCTTTGCCGGGATAGTTTTTGAATAGTCACCTAACAGCGAAGACTGATAGGTTTCTAGTAGGGTCAAAAGAGAGCATCATGACTCCCCGGGGGGGTCTGGGCAGATGCCGGACGGGATCCGGGGACTCCTTTTCTAGCCAACAGTAACGCACTTCGTGGTCTTCGAGCTCCCAGAACTCCATTCCTCGGCATGATTTTGAATGCCCGGAGCCAACTGTAGGCCACTTCGTGGTCTTCGAGCTCCCAGGAACTCCATTCCTGGGCATGACTTTGAATCCCCGGAGCCAACTGTAGGCCACTTCGTGGTCTTCGAGTTCCCAGAATCTCCGCTCCTGGGCATGATTTTGAATGCCCGGAGCCAACTGTAGGCCACTTCGTGGTCTTCGAATTCCCAGAACTCCATTCCCGGGCATGGTTTTGAATGCCCGGAGCCAACTGTAGGCCACTTCGTTGTCTTCGAGCTCCCAGAACTCCACTCCTGGGCATGATTTTGAATGCCCGGAGCCAACTGTGGGCCACTTCGTGGTCCTCGAGTTCCCAGAACTTTATTCCCAGTCCTGGGAACTCGTGTTCTTCGTTCTTCGGGGGTCATTTTCGACTCCCGGGAGGGCTAAAAAACAACACCCCTCACGAGGATTCTGGCCCCGACGGGGGGAAACAGAAAAAACCCTCTCCTCTTCTTTGAAGCCAAAATCATTGATTTTACTACGGTTTTGGCCCCATGTTGGCCTTCTGAAGGGGCCGCGCTCATTAAAGCTTTCCTCTTCCTTCAGGGCAAAATCATTGATTTTCTACAGGTTTTGGGCTCATTTTGCCCTTATGCCCTTATGAGGGGGCAGCGCTCATTGAAGCTCCCCTCGTCTTTGATCCATCCTCTCCACGATGGCCCCAAGAAGCGCCCAGGAGGCACCAAGAGGCCCCAAGATGGACCCAAGAGGCCCCCAGGAGGCCCCCAAGAGGCCTCCAAAAGGCCCCCAAGATGTCCCCAAGAGGTCCCCAAGAGGCCCCACGAGGCGCCGAAGACGCCCCAAGAGGCCTCTAAGAGGCTCCCACAAGACATCTACTACTACTTCTACTCCTACAACTACTACTACTACTACTACTACTACTACTACTACTACTACTACTACTACTACTACTACTACTACTACTACTACTACTACTACTACTACTCATACTAGTATCACTACATCATCTCCTACTACTATAACTACAACTACTGTGACGACTACTACTAGTTCTAGTCCTACTACTACTACTCCTACTACTACTACTACACCTACTACTACTGCTACTACTACTAGTACTGCCACTACCACTGCTACTAGTACCACTGCTACTAGTACTACTGGGACTACTACTACTGCTACCACTGTTACTAGTACTACTGGGACTACTACTACTGCTGCTCTTAGTACTAGGACGACTATCACTACTAGTGCTTCTAGTACTGCTACTACTACGACTACTACTACTACTTCCACTTCTACTACTCCGACTTCTACTCATGGTGCTACGGCCACTACTACTACCAGTACTACTACTACTACTACTACTACTACTACTACTACTACTACTACTACTACTACTACTACTTACTACTACTACCATGACAACTACCACTACAACTACTACGACTACCATTACTACTACAACTTCTAGTACTGATACTACTACGACTACTACTACTTCTACCTCTACTACTCCTACTTCTACTCATGGTGCCACGGCCACTACTACTACTGGTATCACTACTACTACTACTACTACTACTACTACTACTACTACTACTACTACTACTACTACTACTACTACTACTACTACTACTACTACTACTCTACTACTACTACTACTACTACTACTACTACTACTACTACTACTACTACTACTACTACTACTACTACTACTACTACTTCCATATAGATCACTGCTCTAGTGCCTGTCTCTGCTTCTGAGACAACTACTGCGACGACGACGTTGACGACTACGTTTGCTACTACCAATACTACTTACTACTGCTACTGCTAGTGGTACTGCTACTGCTAATGCTATTCCTCGTACTGCTTTTCGTATTTCTACTACCACTACTCGTACTACTACTACTACTAGTACTACTACTACTACTACTACTACTACTACTACTACTACTACTACTACTACTACTACTACTACTAGTACTACTACTGGCACTACGACGAAAACTACTTCTACTCTACCTAGAGCTACTACTACTACACCTCGAACTACTCATGCTACCACTATATCTACTACAATTATAATTGCTACTACTAATATGACTACTACTACTACGACTACTACTACCACTACTACTACTACTACTACTACTACTACTACTACTACTACTACTACTACTACTACTCCTGCTATTACAAATACTCATACTACTACTACCACTACTACTACTACTACTACTACTACTACTACTACTACTACTACTACTACTAC